TGAGCCCCTCACAGAGATAGATGCCCTTAGTAATGAGCGCACCCCTCACGGGGGACTGGGGAGAATGACTCTTTTTCAGTGACTGTCCCCTCGGAACGAGCGACCCCGTCAGGGGGACCAGGAAGAAAAAAACCCGACTCCGTTATCTCCCTGCGGAGTGACCCGCTCTGGGAGACTGGGAAGAACGACCCTGTCAGTGACCGCCCCGTCAAAACCAGAGCGCGGTCAGGGGAGCCTGGAAGAACGACTCGCTCAGTGGCCACCCCCTCAGGAACGTGCGACTCCGGGGGCCGGCACGAATGAATGAGCCTCTCAGTACCTCCAAGTCTGGAATGAGTGACCTCCTTAGAGGCACCAGAGGTATCAATGACCCCTCAGGATGTCCACATTTGTACAGCTTCTATTTTAGAGAGGGCGTGGCAGCAGCATCCCTAACTGGGGGTGGGGTGGGGGAGGAAATGAAATAGCAGGTGCCCTAGAAGCCTGGAAGAGGAGTCCTGGTGGCCTAGTTGGTTACACATGGGGCTGCTAACTTCAAGGTCAGCAGTTCAAACTTGACAGCCGTTCTGCCTGAGAAAGAAGAGGCTTTCTACTTCTGTAAAGAGTTATTACAGTGTGGGAATGGCCACAGGGGCTATAGACCCTGCCCTATAGGGTCACCACGAGTTTAGTTTTTGAATTTGAGTAGGAATCCAGGGCTCTGACATCCTATCCAACACTCCAATTTCTTAATGCAGACCACGGAGGAAGCAGCTAGGGCAAATGGGCAGGTGATGTTTCTGGGACCATTCTTTCAACTGCCAACATTTTACCACAACTTTAGGGGGCATGGAAAATAGCCTGTGATAAAACACCCATCACCCTACTATTTGAACCTAATTCTTAAGCCACATCACCTTGTCCCCCGCAAAAAAAGAATATAATGAGGTGAATATGTGAAGAACCAAGACTATTTGAAGAAACAGAGCAACTGCCTGTAAAGATGGAACTGTTGAGGTGGAGGGGAGGAAGAGAGCTGCTAGTTCAAACTGGCTCTAGGAAAAGGTGGTCCCAGGCTAAGTGAGCATTTCTTCTTTCATTGAACAGATGTTCACTGAGCTCCTGCTGTGTGCTTGGCCGGCGTGCCGTTGGTGTGGAGGATGCAGAGAACAGACATGAAAGATCTTTACCACGATGGCGCTTGAATCAACGGAAGGCGTGGGTTTCATGTAGAAAAGGTAAACTTGAATTTAGAGGCAACCCCAGTTGCTATAGTCTCAGTAGAAGATGTTTTCCTTGAGAGTCAAAACTCGTTGTCAAGCCATCAATAACACTTAGACTCTGTAGTAATGAACAGCCTTACAAGTCGTAAGTGGAAATGATTTGCTTGCATTCTGCAATGAGGTGTATGTTGGATGTAGAAATATAATTTTCCCTAAATTATTAGTTGGTAACACTAGGCCCAGAGAGGTTGAGCCTGAAAAAAGATTATATGGGGGAAAAAAAGTCATTTCATTTACATTCTTGCCTTTTTCGTATCTCTCTATTGTAAGCAGCAATTCAAAACAAAACCAAACCAAAAGACGTTGCCCTCCGGTTGGTTCTGCCACAGTGACCCGATAGCATATAGTAGAACTGACCCATCCGGTTTTCAAACCGTACAGTTTGTACAGAAGCAGACGCTCTTCTTTTTCCCTCAGAGGGACTTGTAAGTTTAAACTGCCTGTCTTTCTGTTCACTGCTGAGTACTTTAACCACAGCACCACTGCCTTCTGAGAGTTTTATAGTTCAGTGTTTGCATTTAAGACTCTGACCTATTTTAAGTTTATTTATGTGTGCATAAGGTTCTAACTTCATTTTTTTTTGCATGTAACTATAAAGTTGCTTCAGTGCTAGTATCTGAAACACCTACTCCACCCCCCACGCCCCACTGAATGACGTTGGCATCTCTATCACAAATCCTGTTTCTTTTTCAACAAAATCCCCCAGGTTGGTTAATAGATAGCTGACTACACCCAGTCAAGCATACAACAAAACAGCGACTGACTGAATAACATGTTTATTCAGAAAGCCCAAACTGTAATAACCTATTTTTAGTTTATGTAATATTAAAATTATTCTGTTTACTATATTGGATATATTCACTGTCGTGAGTGTGGTGATAGTTTCATGAGTATATATAGATGAATGTATATATATATCAGACTTACCAAATTGTACGCTTTAGCTGTGTGTTTATTGTATGTCAGTTATTCCTCGACGAAGCCAATTGAGGTATAATTTACTGATCAAGGCATAATTGTCATATAATAAATGGTACATATTTGAAGTACACATTTGATAATGTTGATATAAGTATATTTACTCATGAAACCATGACTACAATGAAAAGGGTGGGAAGACACATGTGAAGTTGTTTACTACAGTTTACTGAATAAACACAAGTGCCTACTGGGTAATCTGTTCTTGTCCAGCAAGACCACTCCTAGGCCTGTTCTCCAGAGAATTGAAAGTGTATGTTCAAACAAATGCTTGCGCGTGAATTTTTATAGTACTGTTGTTACTGATAGCCCCAAAGAGAAGCAACCCAAAGGATTTCTGGGGAGAGGATGAGCAGAATCTGGCCCATCCACACGTGGGATAGTGCTCAACCACAAAAGGAGCGCAGCAGTGACTCGGGCTACACGGTGACTGATCCCTGGAAACATCCTGGGCAAAAAAGCCAGACACAGAAGGCCACCTGTCTGATTTGATTGATATGGGGTGTCCAAGAGAAGCAAATTCATAGAGATCTGTGATACTTATGATATTGATCATTTTTAAAAATTTATAGACTCTTTCAGAAGATAAGGAACCATGTAGATCAGTTGCTGCTAGTGACTGGGGGTGGGGGAGCTTGACTTCTTTCGGGGTGATGAAAGTAATCTAGTCATCTAGTGGTGATGATTGCACAACCTTCTGATTATACCTACAACACACTGGATTGTACACTTGAAAAAAGCGATTTCTATGACATTTGAATTATATCTCAATAAAAAAATAAAAAGAAACAGGAAGTAGACAACTGAAGCCCCCAAAAGAAAAAAATACATCTCATAAAAATATGGGGCCAACTGGAGTTCCCCTTGCAGAGGGGTCTCGGGGAGATGAGCCAGTCAGGGCGCGATATAACAACGATGA